TGCTAGTACAAAACTGAGTATAAAGCCATGGAAACCAGAAATACTAGATCCAGGTTGTTGGCTAATAGAATATGGTTTTGGCATACAAGACAGACGGATTTTTATTTATCCATTCACTTATTTGGGGGAAATGATGAGAAGAAAAAGAGGTCAGATTAAGAAACTTCACTATCAACAGTTACACAGCAAGTTCAACGCCTTGTTTTCATAACTGGGCTGAGATGTCTTAGGAGTGACTGCCTTCAGACTGGCGGCATTTGTTCTGACTTCTGCACTGATGTGACTCATCAGTTTCTCCTACCACGTGCCTATGAGACACCAGATCACTTGATATGACTGACACAGTGAGTGCCAGCTCTCTGTGACTTATTTAAATACATTAGTCTAGATATGGTAACCTATTCCTGGCACAGAAAGTATTCGGTTAAAGTTTCTATTTACATACCATACAGTTAATATTCAGCACTTTATAATACAAATTGAAATAATCTGGATTCTGAATATATTTGTAGTATATTTTAAGTAATACAAAGTGATAAGACAATTCCTTCAATGATTTAAAATAACTGATCTGAGCAATGTAAACCTAAGTATCTTTCAAGATTTAAGACTGAGATCAGTCTAATAACAATTAGTATTATAAGGGTAGTACCTTAAAATACAATCTTATTTCTTCTAACTGCTCATTATTTTCCATCTCCCACAGAGGGCAAACCATATAAATACTCATTTTTCAGTAGCTTTTATAGCAAAGATTAGATCTATTTGGCTTAAGTGAGCCATAATGACCTCCAATAGAAGACTTCGTATCTTATTAAATATTTATTACGAAAGGACTGCAACAGTCTCATCATCATAATTCTACCTACAAGCTTTGTCATGACAATTACATTTAAAAATAATTATCTTAAGATAAATGATTTTTTTCACTCAAGACTCAAACCAACTCAAATTTATTTTTTATTCAATGAATAATACAGTACGTCGTACTAGAACGGAACATGAAAATGCTATATAAATTTGCTTTGACCAAAAGATGATGAACGAATCACAACTGTTATTACTTGTTTGGCATTTTTACTTTCACAAAGGTTCAGAAGCCACAGACACATCTCACTTTACAAACAAGTCTTACTAATGGGAGTGGCACAAGCTAAAGCCAGAATGCCTCTGGAAAATCTTAGCTTGGTTCACTGATAACCACCCTTCCCTATCGAGAACTATCCAGAACAGTTGCTGCTTGGGGTACCTGAAGTGCTCAGTTTGCAAGGACTGCCCTCAGCAGACTGGCTTTATATCTACCTTGGTCTTTATTCATCTGGCAAATGAAAACTTATTCGCAATTTTCAGTAATTATTTATTAGTCAAACCAACCAATCTTGAGTTACCCTTTTTTTTCTTTTTGAATTTTATTTATTTTTTTATACAGCAGGTTCTTATTAGTTATCCCTTTTATACATACTAGTGTATATATGGAGTTACCCTTTCATAATCATGACTTCATTTGGCACCCACCTTCTTTGACAAATACTTCTGTTTTGGGAAAATGTTGGTTACTCGAGGTTTGTGGTCTAGTGTCTCCCTGTTATCAGGTGCTTTCACTTTATATATCCTTACAAGCCAGTGCTCTGATGTAAAGGCCTCCTCCAAATGCTTGAATTTAATGTCCTTGTTTCCAATCTCAGCATTACGTGTTCGATCAAAACCTGGGGGTGTACGGAAATCCAGCTGCAAAAGTGACATTAGTATTGGATGTTAACCATATTGGAAAGCTTGCAATATTAGAAGGTAGTAAATGTTAGCAGCAGAGTAAAACTTTCTCCTTTTAAACTAGGAAAACACAATCAGAGCAATATATTCTAACAGTTCTTATATGTTGCTAACCAGATAGGAAAAACTCTGCAAGAGAGAAATTAAATACATCAGGATTAGAGTTTCAGTGAACCCTTAGAGTGGATGGATGAACAGCCCACAGGCATAAAAAAACCAAAATGGCAAGATGAAATCCATTAAAGCCCTTCTTATAGGTATTCAGAGAAAACACACAGAAGGGCCTGCTTTTCTGCCCCAGGGCCTCACACTATACTATCTACTCTTTCAACCTCAAAGTTCTTCATTCTGTGATTTTGCATGGCTGGTCCCTTTCTATCCTTTGGTCTCAGCCCAAATACCATCCCTTCAGGGAAATATTTTCTTGAGATTGATGGTTGCGAAGTCTCCTCCACTGATTCCTTATTCTTTTACTCTATAGTGTTTGTTGCTAAGGTTTTTATTTATCTTTAAAATTACCTATATCCTCCAACAGGATGTAAGCTGCATGATGACTTTACCTTATTCAGTGTGGCTCTATCTCACCAGCATTACTTGTTAAATCAATGCACAAGTAAAGCAGTGATGCTAACCAACCTGAAATTGGGAACTACAAAGGAAGTCAGACAAGCCAAACCATGGGAAGATTAACCAAGAATGAAAGGAGGAAACAATGGAAGGACGGGAGAAGACTTTAAGAAATTCTCAGACTAAGTTTATATGTTGCCACACAGAACTTAAATGAATTCAACTTAAAAATAAATCCAAAACCCAAATCTCCTCCAGTGCGAGAATAACTTGTTATTGCACATCTATACAAGAGCAAAGTTATATACTTCATGTCTTAAACATATTATTCTTGAGTAGGGAAA